GTTCAGTGTATATACCAACTTTAATGGATATAACCCTAACCCTTAATCCTAACCCTCATTTTCTTGTTTCAACCGTTTATAAACTATCCATTGGAAAAATAAACTTCCTCAAGACATGTGGGTCAAGTGATCTTAATAACCTCCAGTCATGTGATCTTAATAACCTCATGTCATGTGATCTTAATAACCTCCAGTCACGTGATCCTAATAACCTCATGTCATGTGATTTTAATAACCTCCAGTCATGTGATCAGTCATGTGATCCTAATAACCTCCAGTCATGTGACCTTAATAACCTCCAGTCATGTGATCCTAATAACCTCCATTCACGTGATCCTAATAACCTCATGTCATGTGATCTTAATAACCTCATGTCATGTGATCTTAAGATCTTAATAACCTCATGTCATGTGATCTTAATAACCTCCAGTCATGTGATCCTAATAACCTCCATTCACGTGATCCTAATAACCTCATGTCATGTGATCTTAATAACCTCATGTCATGTGATCTTAAGATCTTAATAACCTCATGTCATGTGATCTTAATAACCTCCAGTCATGTGATCTTAATAACCTCCAGTCATATGATCTTAATAACCTCCAGTCATGTGATCTTAATAACCTCCAGTCTTGTGATCTTAATAACCTCCAGTCATATGATCTTAATAACCTCCATTCACGTGATCCTAATAACCTCATGTCATGTGATCTTAATAACCTCATGTCATGTGATCTTAAGATCTTAATAACCTCATGTCATGTGATCTTAATAACCTCCAGTCATGTGATCTTAATAACCTCCAGTCATATGATCTTAATAACCTCCAGTCATGTGATCTTAATAACCTCCAGTCATGTGATCTTAATAACCTCCAGTCATGTGATCTTAATAACCTCCAGTCATGTGATCCTAATAACCTCCATTCACGTGATCCTAATAACCTCATGTCATGTGATCTTAATAACCTCATGTCATGTGATCTTAAGATCTTAATAACCTCATGTCATGTGATCTTAATAACCTCCAGTCATGTGATCTTAATAACCTCCAGTCATATGATCTTAATAACCTCCAGTCATGTGATCTTAAGATCTTAATAACCTCATGTCATGTGACCTTAATAACCTCCAGTCATGTGATCCTAATAACCTCCATTCACGTGATCCTAATAACCTCATGTCATGTGATCTTAATAACCTCATGTCATGTGATCTTAAGATCTTAATAACCTCATGTCATGTGATCTTAATAACCTCCAGTCATGTGATCTTAATAACCTCCAGTCATATGATCTTAATAACCTCCAGTCATGTGATCTTAATAACCTCCAGTCATGTGATCTTAATAACCTCCAGTCATATGATCTTAATAACCTCCAGTCATGTGATCTTAATAACCTCCAGTCATGTGATCCTAATGACCTCCAGTCATGTGATCATAATGACCTCCAGCTGATAGCAGTGAGTTTCCATCTGTTATCGGAAACGTTGGAAATGGTCCACTGAAGTAGAAGCTCTGCGGGAAGGAAATGTAAATTTAAACCAGAAAAAGCAGCAACCCTGCATTTATCATCACGATCTGAAGATATCTGAGGAGAGAATCTGTCCCTAAAGTCACCAACTTGGAAAATGACTGGGTTGAAAATGCAAATACTTCTGATTGGAGCAGCTGTGTGTCCTCAGTTGCACTGATGAAGATAATTAGCCATCCTTTTTGTTTTTTTCTTCAGATGTGAGAGGCAGTGAGTGTTTGGACGGGTTGATGAGGAGTTTAGACTTTAAGCAAAATAATCTTTTGTTTTTCCTCACATTTCATCCTCGCTTTGAGTCTGCAGGTGGGAAATATAGCTGGGAAATACATCGATATTATGTCCATATGGTGATTTAAGACATGATATCATAACATTTCCGGTTGTTACTACGTATGTTCCACTTAATTTCTTATATTAGTGCTACTTTCTTTTCCTTTTACCTCGATTTTTTTACTATTTGAGTTTTATTTTCGTTAATTTGTGCATGCATTTTAATTTGACAGTGTTGTATTCTTATCGTTATCCATACTGTCCCCCTGAAATGGATGGATAAAGGATTTCTGAGTTTATTTATATCCGTTAGTGTGTATTTGTGGTTTTTAAAAGCCGCGTTACACTTAATGTATGTCCTTATTGAACCTACCAAATATTGTAAATGTCTTAATTTATGCTTTTAATCATTAAATCCAATGCACAATTGGTGAAAAATAACTAATTGCGATTATTTTTGAATATCGGAGAGAATAATCACATCTGAAACAATGTTCTCTTTATCATCAAAAAGTACATTACTACATTTATATTTAATTACATTTTCCATTCCCTACACACTTAATGTAAATAAGATCCTGCTTTATATTGTCAGAGTTTATAGATGTGTATCTTCACAGTCTACTGTATATTTTCTACTTTTGAATGCTGTTTTAATTCTATTTTGAGATGTTTAAATTCTAGTATTGTTTATTTCTACTCTTTCATTTCTACTTATGTGTAATGCCTTGTTTGTTTTTATGCTGCTGCAACGCAAACATGTCCCAATTAGGGATCAATAAAGTACCTCTTATCTTATTCAAAATATCATGGTGTGATCAGTAACAAACAATGTTTGTATTAATAGGTCTGTCGAATAATGTTTACTTCATTTGACCAAATATTGCACTAAATGCGATTTTGATGTTGCGCGTATTGTAATTTTAAAGAAAATGTGTAAATTGTGCAGCCCTAAAGTATTTCACCTGACCTCCACCTTTACCAGCTGCAACAATAAAGTGATGAACAAAGGATCCATTATTTTAATGCAATAAATATAATATATTAAGAAAAACATACATATTGTTACTCCAATACTGATCATTATGTATTCAAATGGTCGTTTCTTTTGTGAAACCTTCAATTGTCAACGTTACAATGTCGTTGAAAAAGAGATATTGAAGAATTAGATCAGAAATATTCCTCTTATGTAGCGCCGCAGCTTTACCCACTTAGCTAGTTAGCTAGTTAGCTAACAAGCTGGCTAGTGAACATTAGTTATCTCCATCTATCCATCAAACTAGCTAGCGAACGCAAGTTATGTACTTTATAAGATATCAAAAGCTGGCAATCTACTTTACAAGCTAGCTAACGTTCGCTATCTATCCACATTGTAAGCTAGCCAACATTAGCTAACCATTTAACTAGCAGAAATCGACAATTTGGTGGCTTTCGTAATTTAAATTTGAATGATTATTTAACACCCTGTGATTAAACTTGCATTGTGGACCTGTGTCTTGTGTTCAGGCTGTGATCGTTTTTATAAAAACCTTGTTGACATGTGCATGATGTTTGTTAGCAGCTCCAAACATTGCAGTAAATTCCCAGAAGTATGTCGTTTGAGTAAATGAATCACATGTTGGTTATCTAAGTGGTTAGTTTCCTGCATGGAGTAGTGTTAGCTTACTAGCGAACGTTAGCCAGTTAGCTTACAAGCTGGCTAGTTAACATACATCTCCATCTCTCCATCAAATTAGATAGCGAACGTAAGCTATCTTCTTTACAAGCGAGCTAACACTCGCTATGTTTATACGTTGTAAGCTAGCCAACATTAGCTACCCATCTAACCAGCTACCTAGTTAGCTAGCGAATGTTAGCTCTCTAGCTAGCCCGGGATAGTAGCATGATGCTTGTTAGCAGCTCCAAACATCATCGTAAATTCCCAAGTGTCATTTGGGTAAATAAAATCACATGTTGCTGATCTAGGGGGATAGTTTCCTGCATGGATTGGTGTTAGTAATAAAAGTTCATTCAAAAGCTTAAAAACAGTTTATTTGACAAGTAAATGTTGATTAATGTGAACACAGAATAAGACATTGTGGCAGGACAGGATTAACCCTTTAGGACTCGTGCAGGAAACTACGTCCATTATAAATGTGGGACTGTCCCCTTAAAGCAGGGGGGTCAAACTCAATTTCATCACGGGCCATATCAGCATTATGGTTGCACTCAAAGGGCCGGTTGTAACATACAAATATACATAGGCCTATATAAATATATATAAAATAATGTTTTATATTACATCATTGCCTCTGCATTGGATTATTATCAGATAGAGTAATAACTTCATAATTAACTACGTCTGAAAGCAGAAGTCTTGGGCAAATCATTGCAAGTCTCTTCAGTGTCACGAAATGAGATGCATTGTGGGACATGTAGTTTATGGGCAACATGCTTTTTTATTTGTATTTTATTATATGTGTTGCATTGTTGGAGGTATGATGACAAAACCAGAGGTGTGAAGTATTGGAGTACAAATACTTGTACTTAAGTACATGTTTCTGGTATCAGTACTTTACTCCACTACATTTTCCAAACAGCTGGTTCCTTTAGTCTGAATGTGTGTTTGATGCGTGATCATTATTCTTTAGAGTCATTGCGTGCCTATTGATTTGAACACGATCCGTGTATCCATCATTTCCTGGTCTTCTCTAAAGAAGAGGGACCAATGGAAACGTTGTCATGTTGCCGTTGTTCAGCATGGAAACATTCATTAGCTAACAATGACATTATTGTTCTATTAATATAAAGGGAGGTCAGGTACTCTTTAAAACTGCTGCTAGTTATGGGTACTTTTTACTGAAGTACACTTCAAAGCCTCTTTACTTTTACTTGAGTAAAGAAGTATAGTCAGTACTTCTACTTTCACCAGAGTATTTTTAAACACGAGTATCTGTATTTCTACTTGAGTAAAGGATGAATGTACTTCTACTTGAGTAAAGGATGTGTGTACTTCTACTTGAGTAAAGGATGTGTGTACTTCTACTTGAGTAAAGGATGTGTGTACTTCTACTTGAGTAAAGGATGTGTGTACTTCTACTTGAGTAAAGGATGTGTGTACTTCTTGAGTAAAGGATGTGTGTACTTCTACTTGAGTAAAGGATGTGTGTACTTCTACTTGAGTAAAGGATGTGTGTACTTCTACTTGAGTAAAGGATGTGTGTGAGTAAAGGATGTGTGTACTTCTACTTGAGTAAAGGATGTATGTACTTCTTGAGTAAAGGATGTGTGTACTTCTTGAGTAAAGGATGTGTGTACTTCTTGAGTAAAGGATGTGTACTTTTGTCAAGCTCTCTTTCGGCCACATCAAAGGAAGTCCTCGAGGTCTTGAGTTTGACACCCCCTACTCTAATGGAGTATTTCTAGAACAACACCTGTAAAGGAAGGACAGGGGGAGGAAAGAGAGGAGGGAGGTGATTCTGCATGGGATGAAACCTTGCCTCCATTAACGGAAAGTGAGCGGGGGAATCCAGGAAAGACACGGGGGACGAAGAGTAAAAAGAGGGATGAAGAGGAGGAGGTGGAGGAGGAGGTGGATTAAGAGTGAGATGAGGGGAGAAAGAGGGGAGGAGATGAGGGAAAGAGTGGAGGTGCGAGGGGGGAGGAAGCAAGGAAAGGTGATGCTGGATGATGGTGTGTCGGAAAGAGAAGGAGGAAGAGGAAGAGAGGGAAGGAGGGAGGAAGATGCAGTGAGGAGGGAGGAAACAAGGCCTCTTATCAGAGTAGAATAACTCCTTCCTCCTCTCCCTCTCCTTCCTCCTCACCCACTGCTTCTCCCACGCCTCCTTCACCTTCTTCCTCTCCTCCTCCTCCTCTTCCTCCTGCTTCCTCTTCTTCCTCACATCAACAACAGCACAGTGGTTACAATCGGCAACGTGATTTCTGTTCGACTTCTGATCGACTCCTGGATCCGACAGGAGGCTCTTATTTTGAAAGGGTTCAGTTTCCTCCTCCTCCGTTTTGTTGTCCGAGGCGTCTGAGCTCTGAGCTGCAGTCTGCTCGCACACACCTGGTGTGTCACCACTCTGTGTGCGCCTGGTTTCACATCGACGCTGGTCTGCATGAGTAGCATTGGTGCTACATGCTAATAAGTCCCCAGCACAGTGATTACAATCAGCGACACGATGTGTGTTTGATGTCTGATCGATACCTCTGCAGGCTTTATAATCAATCCCTGCATCACAGAGGGTGCTTTCAGTCTGAGAGTGCTTGGCTTTATCCTCAGTTGTGTTATTCGTGGAGTTTGAGCTCTGATCTGAAGCTTGCTCACAGAAATCTGATGTTTTATCACTTGGTGTTTGCCTGTTTTCACATTGACGGCGTTCAGCTGGAGTATGATTGGTGTTACGTGCTAATAAGTCCCCAGGTGTGTCATTAGCTGAGTGAAGTTTGTCCACAGGACTCAAAGAAGGATCCTCGTGTTTCTCAAAGCTCTGATTGTGTTTGTCGTTAGGATTGTCTCGAGTAACGTCATGGTTTTCACGCTGACTGTCACTGTGAAAGTTAAAGTCTCTGAAAGGTCCATCAGTGCATCTCTTCCTCATTTCCTCGTCTTCGCAGTCATTGAGTTTGTCAGCGGTGTCACAGCTAAATGTGTCCTCTGTTTCGTGACACGGGAAGTTGTCCATGTCCAGTTTCCCCGTGCCTTCGTGTAGGTCAGTGTTCGACCCAATACTCTCTCTTCTTTCCTGTCTCAAAAAACATGCCTTCCTCCTCGCTTGCCTCCTTCCTCTCCTCCTCTTCTTCCTCTTTGTTTCCTCCTCCTCCTCCTCCTCCTCCTCTATCATCTTCCTCTTCTTCCCTTCCTCTGAAATTGTCTTTCCAGGCAGGGTCACATTGCTCCGCTGAGCTTCTGTCTGCTGTGTTGTTTGTCTTTGATGCCACGCTGCTTTTCTAAAGGAAACAGGAAAAGGGACGAGGCTAATCGCTGGATCACCTGCTGTTTCCCCGGGAGGTTCAGAAAGACAAATTCCCGTCGCTTCTTCCTCAGAAGCGCCGATAATCACTGGGTTGAACTCGCCTCTTATCAGATTCCTCCGCTGCCCTGCTTGTTCACATGTAGTTTCGTGCATCTCCCCCATTTCAGGGCAGCGTGGCGTCTCTTTTTCAGACCCAGGGAAGAGGCTAATCGCTGGGTTACATGCTGTTGCCCCTGGAGGTTCAACAAGACAAATTCCCGTCGCTTCTTGCACAGAAATGCCTCTAATCGCAGGGTTTCTCTCGCCTCTTATCAGACTCTTCCGCTGCCCTGCTCGCTCGCCTGTAATTTCCTGCATTTCCCGCATTGTAGGACAGCAGGAAGTCTCTCTTTCAGACCCAGGGACGGGGCTAATCGCTGGGTTACATGCCTCCCCCCTGTAGAGAGGCTTTCTACCGGCTGATTGCTGGGATTGATGCTCGATGCTCTTCACCTGCAGCTGGTCACAGCGATTACAGCGATTCACGGGAAGGTTGCTTAATAGCCCTCCTCTCTTCTCATCGTCTCTACCTTTCTTCCTCCCGTCCTCCCTCACCCTGCCTCCCAACGAGAGATTACTTAACGGCACTTTTTCCTCTCTTTTCAACCTCTCCTCTCCTCGTCCTTCAAGTATCTCAGAACTGCTGCTTAATAACCTTCTTCTCCTCTTTCTTCTCCTTTCTGTCTCTTCCCCTCGTTTCCTCCGTCCTCTCTTCCTCACCCCTCCTCTCCTCTTCCTCTTCCTCGTTCTGAATCCGGTTTTCTGAAGGCCCAGCGCTGCAGAAACACATTTTAAAGCGCTTTCATCACGGCTGCCTGCTTCTGTACAATGGGCTACAACTTCCTGAGGATTTCCCGCCTGTCCCCCTTCATCTTCCTCTCCCCTTTCATCTATCTTCACCTCCCTTCCTCCCGCCACCACTTCCCTCTCGTGCTCTTTGATCACAGTTGGTTTTATTCCCTCCCTGCCTTCCTCCGACCCTCGTTTCTTCCTCCCTTCTCCCCCGTCCCTGGCCCTGTTGTGCGCTCTGAAGTCGTACAGTAACGGGTTGATGCTGAAGGAGATAGATGGCGATGTTTTCGTGAAACTGAGCATCTCCGACGGCCAGAGGAAAACCCGGGTACCGTCTCGACTCAAGACCCGACAGAACGGCTCTTTCGGGCGATTCAGAGGCGGAAAACTAGACTCTTTGGGGTTCAAAGTGTCATTTAAAACCGATGTTTGAGGCTGATTCTGAGCAGGGAGAACCTGATCTTCAGTAGAGTCTATGTCTTGATTGTCCAAATCATCGTGGGTTTTGTTCACTGGATGTTTGGCCACAACAGAAACCTGTCCTGGTGTCCCACTGTTCAAATAAAGATGAGTTTTAATCCCACTTTCACTGCCGACTCGAGCTCCAGTCCCGTTGTCGTTACGTAACAAAACCTGGGCTTCATTCCCACCGACGACAGGTTCCTCTAATGGGATCTCACTGCCATTACATAAAGAAACCTGGTCTCCATTGGTAGATACATCAGGTTTATCGTCCAATCCGCTCAGCTCAGGGTTCACATTAAGGTTCTGGTTCTCCACGTCTGCAGAAACGAGAGATCTGAGCGTCCGGTCTGAGACTTTCTCCTGCAGACCTTTGACTCTTTCTTGCACCGTCACTCCTTCTTCCTGCTTCCCCGACAACCCTTGGATGAAGACGGCGGCTGATTGGTGGAGGAGGAAGCAGCTCCTTTTGGGCAGAGAGAAGGAAACGGGTCTCATTCGGCTCTGGATGTTTGGGTTGCTGCTGATATCTGCTGTGGTGTGGGCCCTCTGTGGCGTGGAGCCATTAGCTGGGACGTTACTGGGAGTAAAGGGCTTGCTTGAATAGTTATGAGCCCAGGGGATCTTGTTAAAGTGGCTGGTTTTGGGGGAAGTGTTTTCTGTGGCGGACATGTTATCGTAGTCCATTTGTGTGAGGCAGGATTCAGAAGAAGTTGTGGTTCTGTTGGCGTCCATCGGGTCGTACGCCCAACATCCGGCGTCCAGAGGGAGAACCAGAGAGGTTTGAGGCTCTGGAGGAAAGAAAAGAGAAAGGATTTAATCAGCTGACAACAACGGAGCAGGATTATCTGTGAAAGAAACAAGAAGCAGGAAGGAAAAGCATTTATATGTAATACTTCCCGCGCTGTAAGCTCCTTACACTTTAATGCAGCCTTCTGGCTCCTCACCGTTACTCCTTTGTTGCTTTTAACACATCTCAGCATGATTAATGAGCGTAGGATGGACTCCAGAAGAAACATAAGCACAGAGATGAATGTGTGGCTCAGAAGAAATAAGATTAAGGGGTTTTATTCCAACATGTAATTTACATCTGCTTTGGAGCACGCTGTTATCCCTCCATACGTCACTAGAAAATGATTTCTCTTAAGATGACTTTGAAAGTGATCCGTAATGCGGCTCCACTCCGAGTGTTCGAATTGAAGCCGTCACATAAATGATTACCCTTCACACACTGAAGAAAAAACCCTTTAGAGTTGACTTTAAATGCAGATGTCAAACTTTTCCACTGGGTTTAAAGTCGACGTGCGTATGAGAGGAAAGGCACCCGTGAAACCTTTGTTCTGTATGTTATTGGAAATAAGCAATAAATGAAAGGAAGGATATTCACTATCGACCTGCGTAAGACTCGTAGCGGCAGTTTTAGTTTATTCAAAGCACTAATCAGCTGAAGAAATCTTAGGCATGTCTCCGTCGCCTAATCAAAGCAAATCAAACTCTATTGATATTGTACTTTTCATACACAAAAGGGAACAAAACGTCTGTAGAAACAATACTTTTTATGAACGTTTTCTCACCCTTTATTGCATAAAAACAAAACTTGAATAACTTTTATTGGTAGATGGAAAAACAAATGATCTTAAATATTTAATGTTAATGTTGAATCTACTAAGGGGGGGGGGCGGTTTTCTTCTGCTTCTCTTAGCTTTAAAAGGTAAAGAAGTAGAAAAACCACATTAATGTTTGTGCGTTGGGTTTAAAACGAAGAAAACTTGATAAGAGTTTATTCTTAATGTTATTTGAGGAGATGTGCGACCACACGAGGAGAAACAGCTTCTGTTAAAGTGTTCGAAGGGAAGCCGTCACATCAATGATTACCCTACTGAAAAAACAAAACATTGAGCACTCGGAGAGCTGGCTTTAAATGCAGCTGTCTAACTTTTCCACTGGGTTTAAAGTCGACGTGTTTCTCTGCCAATTGATTGTTTCTTTCCGACGTCAGGAGATCTGCTTCCATGTTCACGCTTCAAACCTTGCAGCCTGTGATGCACTGAGTTGGACTGGAGGGAGCTCCTCCTGAATCAGAACACACCCACACTGGAAGACACATTGAAGTGGAAAATATCTCAGTTGTTTATCCAACTTCATGTCATTTTAGAGGCTGCGCTGCTGTTGAATTGAATCGTGCACTAAGGCATGATTTTAATATTCATCCCACATCGTGGATATGAACCAAATACTGAGTGCTTTATTTTAAATTATGGGTACATTATAAGTTTGGTGGAACGAGCTCCACGTTGACATCGGGACGAATGAAAGTCTACCCATCTCTACACAAACTGAAAACAATCTGTTTCATTTGAATGCACTTCAATGGTTGGTTTGGCCCGTTTTAAGTGAATATAACCTTACTTTTCTTGTTCTTCTGAGTTTATTCTATTGTAAGTCATTTTGGATTCAAACGGCAGCTAATTGTAATAAATAGGGATCTCCTCGACTGCAAAAAGACCTCAAGTCGTCTAAGACTCGTACGAATGTGTCGCCTAATTGACTTAATCAACGGATCTTAAAAGATATGTGAAGTTTTCAAAGACTTTCTACAAATGCACCGTCATTAATCTGGTGTTTTCCTTGAGTCATTCAAATGGAAAATCATTTAAACCTATCAGCTATAAAATCTTAGACGTCTACGACCAAGAGGACTAATCAGACGACTAATCAGACGACTAATCAGACGACTAATCAGACGACTATTCAGACGACTAATCAGACGACTAATCAGATTAAACTTTTATTTAAATTTGAATCTTCATACACAAATGGTAACGATAAGTGCTGAACAAACCAAAAACATTTGTAATATACATATAATTCATTATTTTGAACTTGTTGTACATAATAACGTTGACTAATTGAGAGTTTATCAGACAACTGGACCTGTTTCTATGGAAATAACTCATTAGGAATCTAGGGGTGTAACGGTACACGTACCCGTACCGAAATTATTCGGTACGGGCCCTTCGGTTCGGTACACGTGTGTACCGAAGTGTACCGAACGAATATAACGTTAAACGTAAAAAAATTGAGAACGTGAATAACTTTTTGGAAGTAATCTCAGGTGCTGCGTCGCAGCATTCAGAGTAATTTGCTCACATTGTGTTCAACGCGTCATAGAGCGAGCAAGTCATTTCATTGGACGAGAGGCATACTATGAGAGCTGGTCACAGGGATGCGTTCAAATGTAGTCAGTAATTTGAGGAACTGTCGAAATGGCGAACGCAGATAAAGTTGAGCTGAAAATCCTCCAGCATCATTGAAGTCTCCGGTTTGGGAACATTTTGGTTTCGCAGTTACGTACAAGGATGAGAGACAAAGACAGGTGGACCGAACCAAAGCTGTTTGTCGGCATTGTTCAACTAACATTGGTTACGCGGCTGGCAATACATCAAACTTGCACACTCTTGAAAAGGCATCACCCGAACGTGAATATCACCGGTACCAAAAGAAAAAAGACTGAAGTGCAAACCCAACTCCCACTAGCATTTAAGCCTCCACCACTCGCAGAGAGTTCAGACCAAGCCAAAGCTATTGCAAACACCAAATATCCTTATGTTAGCAAAGCGCTACCTGGCTGTGTCTGCTACCTTTGTCCCTAGAGAGGGTGTTCTCCACAGCAGGACACATTGTTAGTGCCAGCAGATCTGCCCTTTCAGAAAGCAATGTGGACAAGTTCATCTTTCTTTAAACAACATGAAAATACAATGACAAGCAAGTCATTGTGTCAAGCTGGCTGCTTAGGTACTAGTACAGTACAGTTCAAATACAGATTATTTCAGTTCATCGAAATGCTGCACCTTAATGTTTATTTTATTATATTTTGTATTTATTTGAGTGAATACATTATTCACAGTTTAATAATAATTTAAAAAAAACAACAGTTTTTTTGATGTTTTGTGAAAAAAAATTCTGCTGTACCGAAAACGTACCGAACCGAACCGTGACCTAAAAACCGAGGTACGTACCGAACCGAAATTTTTGTGAACCGTTACACCCCTATAGGAATCACAAATGAATGTATTCAAAGCACTAATCAGCTGAATCTTAGGCATCTCAGACCAAGTATCCGTCGCCCAATCAAAGCAAATCAAAATCTATTTATTCAGCACTTTTAAAACAAAAAAGGAAATAAAAAGTGTATATAACCAAAGATTGACTTGTATTGGTAGTTGGGTAAAGAAATGTTCTTAAATATTTAATGTTAATGTTGAATCTAGTAAGAGGGGGGGGCAGTTTTATTCTGCTTATCTTATCATAAAAAGACATAATTGACAACAAAATAAGATTTGAAGGAGTAGAAAAAGTATAACAACAACATTAATGTTTGTGCGTTGGGTTTAAAACAAAGAAAGCTTGATGAGAGTTTATTCTTGATGTTGTTTGAGGAGATGTGCGCGAGGCTCTGTAGCTTCATTAAAAACATGCAAACACCCTTAAATGAAAGGGTTTGCACCATCCACTCCTGACTCTAATAAGCACCGCTTTAAATCTAGAAGTTACCAGACGATTGGATGTTTGGAAATCATTGGGGATGACGTATTCATTATTACAAAAGACTAATGAGCTAAAACACGTTCAGGCAGCAAAAGCCAAATAGCCAATCAGACGGCTAATCCAATCCAATCAAATCAAACTCTATTTTAAAGTGCTTCACAAACCAAAGCCCAATTATAAAGACAATTGTAATTAGAACATAACCTTAACCTGCATCTCAGCTTCAACCAGGACAACTTTCTAACCTTTGCATTCAAACTCAGGTTTCAGCTTCATATGTAGAGAGAAATGAACTGAAGGCGGATAGCAACAACATTAATGTTTGTGCGTTGGCTTTAAAACAAAGAAAGCTTGATAAGAGTTTATTCTTGATGTTGTTTGAGGAGATGTGACCACAAGAGGAGCTTCACTAAAATCATGCAAACACCCTTAAATTAAAGGGTTTGCACCATCCACTCTCTAGACTCTAGACTTATTAATTATTACAAAAGACTAATGAGCTAAAACATGTTTGGGCATCTGATTAGTCGTCTGATTAAGACCAAATAGTGAATCAGACGACTAATCCAATCAAATCAATTCAAACTCTATTTAAAAAGCACTTTTCATACAACTTTTGTTATATCCTGTTATGTCTTGAGTCTCGGACCCGACAACAGCAATAACATAAATGTTTTCACAGGGTTTGAAGTGGTTGATTTGATTTATGCATCAAATGTCTTAAAGGTCCCATGTCATGCTTCTCTGGTTCTGACCCGTCCCCTTGTGTTCTGTAGCTTCTGCATGTGAACGCTCTGCAGAGTCTCAAACCCTCAAAGTGCACCCTGTAGGGAGTAACACTCTGACACAGAGAAGACCTGTCTGCCCCAGAACGCCTCGTTGGACATTTCTCTTTTTCTTCCTGGGTACAGTGACGCATTTGGGTATAGTGACGTAACTTAAAGTAACGGCTCCAAATTGGTTCTATTGGTCCAAATGGACCAATCCGCGGAGCCGTTACGTTAAGTCCGTGGATTGGTCCAAATTGACCAATCCCTTGACTTCCTCACACACACTCAATCTTTTCTCAGCTGCAGCTCCGCCGATTTCTCCGCCTGAGACAGCGGGACGCGGCGAGGCTGTGAGTCTGTGAGCACACACACAAACTCCCAGCCAGGCTGCGGGTGTGTGTGTTCGGGCTGGGTTTCGCTGTGTCTCGCTGTCTCGCAGACGGCCACTGGGCTCATAGGGAGGGGGCGGGCAGGAGCTCCAACAAGCCGTGTAGGCCAGAGAGTGAATACACAGACTATACAGAGATGCTGTGAGAAACCAATGTGAGTTTGGAACATTGAACAATGTGAATCTATTCTAGTCGACCTCAACAACGGAACTATGATCAGTAGAAATGGCCATGACACGGGACCTTTAATGTTTTTTGGGATCCAACTACACAAGGCTCTTTAAAAACGTCCTTTAAATGAAAGGCATTAGTACCATGTACTCCTGCCTCCTGTCTAACTGCAGTGGAATATATATTTTATTATTGTGTGGTGGTGTGCTAATGCAATAGCTTCCTTTATTCTGCAGCTCTATATCCACTTAAATGTCAGCGCTGTGAGGCGAGCGCTCGGTCAGCGGTGGGGAATCTGGTGACAAAGTTCACTAAAGTGGAACTCCATTGAAATCAATTGATTTTTAGTCTGATGCTCTTCAACTGTGACCAAGCCCCCGGAGCTATTCTTCATCAAGTGTATATCAATGTTCTGCTTTTGTGAAGAATACCACTCCTTCTTTCTCTCATCCGTCTGCATTTGACATTTAATACAAAGATTTTAAGAGGATTGTATTTACTACAGTCTGCTGTTGATACAGATTTAAAGCATTAATGCAGCAGAAAACACACTCGGTTCAATTCAGCTGTAATGTTATTTCTGTGTTGGTCCCTGAAGGCAGCATCTCCCTGGACCAATTAGATTTCTCCATGTGAGAAAATAATCTCTGTGTCAATCAAACGTTTATGAATCTTACACGTTTAGTTCAGCGGGATTATCTCCACATATTAACACCACTTTATGATTTTTTAAGTAAGAAGCTAATGTTGGGCTATAAAGGAACTACAGCACGGTCACATGACTTCACGTCACCACCGCTAGGCTAAAGGAGGCTAATGTTGGGCTATAAAGGAACTACAGCACGGTCACATTACTTCACCTCACCACCGCTAAGCTAAAGGAGGCTAATGTTGGGCTATAAAGGAACTACAGCACGGTCACATGACTTCACGTCACCACCGCTAAGCTAAAGGTGGCTAATGTTGGGCTATAAAGGAACTACAGCACGGTCACATGACTTCACGTCACCACCGCTAAGCTAAAGGAGGCTAATGTTGGGCTATAAAGGAACTACAGCACGGTCACATGACTTCACGTCACCACCGCTAAGCTAAAGGTGGCTAATGTTGGGCTATAAAGGAACTACAGCACGGTCACATGACTTCACGTCACCACCGCTAAGCTAAAGGAGGCTAATGTTGGGCTATAAAGGAACTACAGCTACGGTCACATGACTTCACGTCACCACCGCTAAGCTAAAGGAGGCTAATGTTGGGCTATAAAGGAACTACAGCACGGTCACATGACTTCACGTCACCACCGCTAAGCTAAAGGAGGCTAATGTTGGGCTATAAAGGAACGACAGCACGGTCACATGACTTCACGTCACCACCGCTAAGCTAAAGGAGGCTAATGTTGGGCTATAAAGGAACTACAGCACGGTCACATTACTTCACCTCACCACCGCTAAGCTAAAGGAGGCTAATGTTGGGCTATAAAGGAACTACAGCACGGTCACATGACTTCACGTCACCACCGCTAAGCTAAAGGTGGCTAATGTTGGGCTATAAAGGAACTACAGCACGGTCACATGACTTCACGTCACCACCGCTAAGCTAAAGGAGGCTAATGTTGGGCTATAAAGGAACTACAGCACGGTCACATGACTTCACGTCACCACCGCTAAGCTAAAGGAGGCTAATGTTGGGCTATAAAGGAACTACAGCACGGTCACATGACTTCACGTCACCACCGCTAAGCTAAAGGAGGCTAATGTTGGGCTATAAAGGAACTACAGCACGGTCACATGACTTCACGTCACCACCGCTAAGCTAAAGGAGGCTAATGTTGGGCTATAAAGGAACGACAGCACGGTCACATGACTTCACGTCACCACCGCTAAGCTAAAGGAGGCTAATGTTGGGCTATAAAGGAACTACAGGTTCTTACTGGTTCCCAGTGTTGTGTCGCTCCAGTTCTGCACAGAGTCCGGTCCGGTCTGGTTTCCTGGTTCCATGGTGGATCTGAACATGGGACCAGAACCTGGAGCACTGAGGAGAGGAAACAAGGACATTACTCAAGGGAAGGAGAAGGACATAAGTGTTAAGATGAGGAAAGGTTGTGAGAAAAGAGGAAATTGGTGTGGAGAGAGAAAGAATAAATGATGGAAAAGCAGGGATGAAAGTAGATAGAAAAAGAAAAGGATGCTGAGAAGGAGAGGAGGAAACAAGGAGGCAAGTGATGAGAAAGATTGGAAGGGTAAGAAAAAGTAAAGGACTAAAGACTAGAGGAAACAACCGAAAAGTAGAGGAAAGACAACAAGAGGACACAAGGAGACAAAGGAAGGAAACGGGAGTAGAGGAAAGGACTAAAAGTAAAGGAATAAATAGTGTAGGAAGAGATGACTACTAGAGGAATCAAGGAGATGGAGAAAAAGGGAGAAGAAGGAAAGAAGGGAAGTACACAAGGGAGAACGATAGGGGAATAAGAGGAGAGGAAAGGAGGTAAGGGAACAGTAAAAATGGGAAAGAGAAAGCAGAAAGAAGGAAAAGGAGACGACAAAGGGTAAGGAATAAAGAGGAGAGGAAACAACCGAAAAGAAGAGAGGACACAAGAAGACAGAGGAAGGAAACGAGAGCAGAGGAAATGACTTAAAGTAGAGGATTAAACAGTGGAGGAAAAGAGGAAAACTAGAGGAACCAAGGAGATGGAGAAAAGGGAGAAGGAAAGAAGGGAAGTACACAAGGGAAGTGGAGAAGGGATAACACAGGGGAATAACAAGAGAGGAAAGGAGGCAAGGGCACAAATAAAAAGGGGAAAGAGAAAGCAGAAAGAAGGAAAAGGAGACGACAAAGGGTAAGTGATGAAGAGGAGAGGAAACAAGGAGACAACTAAAGAAAATAAGGGAGGAAAACAGCTATTGGTCAGAAACTCAGATTTTCGCTAAGCGAGATGATATTGGTTGCCATGCCAACGCTGCTGTAACCAGGAAACTAGTTACTGAGGAACAGCTCTGTGATAAACATGTCACTCCAACAGCTTCTAAATATAAATCACGGAGTTCGTTGAGTCCCAACTTTCATGGATTTACTGGAAAAGCTGTTTTTTATCGTGTCTTCAGGGACTATTTTCTGGCGTATACATTTGTTTTCCTGCGTGGGCGTCCTCAGGTTTTAATTTAGCATCCATGCTCTGTCGTTTAGATATTCATACTTTAAAGAAACTAAATGATGTGTGTGTGTGTGTGTGTGTGTGTGTGTGTGTGTGTGTGTGTGTGTGTCCATGCTCTAATGTTCAGAAAGCTCTTTATTGCTCTCATACTGCCTGTGCTGCAGCACCTCTTTTCACCCTCTGTCTGAAACCTGAGCCCAGTCTGCTCTGATTGGTTAGCTGACCAGCTCTGTTGATTAGTCAACCACTTACAGATATCCCGCCCCTTTAGCCTATCACGTGTTGGAGCGCTAGCCAATAGGAGCGCGAGGGTGACATAGTGTAAGTGTTCCGAAAGTAAACAAAGGAGTGTTGTTTAGCTTTTAGATTGTAACCCCTAAAGCGAAGTATGATCTGAAAAATATAAATATGATGCACTCTAAGGAACTTTGGACCTTTCCTAAGCACGAAACAATTAAGTGAACATCTTTGTGTTTTGGACGGACATCACATTGGACTTTGGTGGACATCCTTCACAGGTTTCTGACACGTCATCTAACGATGTAAATAATCTGCATGTTACTGGATAATAATAATATTATCTGTTATGTTTCCTCACCATTCCTCGCTCCTCGCCTCCTCATGCTGGTGAAGCCTCCTCTCCTCCTCCTCCCTCCTCTCCTCCCTCCTCTCCTCCCTCCTTTCCTCCCTCCTCTTCCTCGTCCTCCTGCAGGCCAGAGATCTGAAGAACTCCCTCTGCTTCAGCTCCTTCAGACGCTGCAAGGAAACACAAACGACCATTAATATCACCAGTTACAACAGACCTTTAATAATTAAGTTATTTTACCCATAATGACGCCTCGCTGCTCATGATCCCGCTCATCACACGGCCACATTCAAAGTCACGACATGACTCCCAATATTCATTGAAATGCTTTTATTGATTTAAAAAGTAGTTGTATTTAAAATGACGTGCATCCGCCAAGAAAAATAGTTTTTGACGTATTTAGTTTTGTATTATTAATACTGTGTGCATACTTAGTTATTTTTTCATTTGAATATGTATTTTCTTTATCTGCACCATACTTCTGTTGCAGCAGGAACATTTCCCCGTCGCTGGGTAGAAAGAGCAATTCTGATTCTGAATAGCAGCGAATAAATAACAAGAATAAGATGCTGTGTGTCGATCTCTCAGCATTTAGTTTCTGCATCTGTGTGTGTGTGTGTGTGTGTGTGTGTGTGTGTGTGTGTGTGTGTGTGTGTGTGTGTGTGTGTGTGTGTGTGTGTGTGTGTGTGTGTGTGTGTGTCAAATCACAGTGTGTGTGTGTGTGTGTGTGTGTGTGTGTGTGTGTGTGTGTGTGTGTGTGTGTGTGTGTGTCAGATCACAGTGTGTGTATGGGTGTGTGTGTAGGATCAGTGTGTGTGTCAGATCACAGTGTGTGTGTGTGTGTGTGTATCAGATCACAGTGTGTGTGTGTTTGTGTGTGTCAGATCAGTGTGTGTGTTTATCGTGCCTACTAAGTCAGCCAGTGTCAGCTTTAGTCCGGTACGGCTTAATTCACTTACTGTGCTCTGTCTGCAAGCTGGAGATACTGATACTGTGTGTGTGTGTGTGTGTGTGTGTGTGTGTGTGTGTGTGTGTGTGTGTGTGTGTGTGTGTGTGTGTGTGTGTGTGTGTGTGTGTGTGTGTGTGTCACAGATAATAATAATAACAATGTACCGGTGGGTTCATATCGCAGACATACGAACAGCGAGAGACAGGAAGACACATGCAGTTTATTATTTAATTTTTATAAATCTCAGTAGCCTGCTGATGTTAATGTATCCACTATATTGTTGTTTACCTTTGTTTAAAAAGTATTAAAACATTGACGTTCAAACCCTTTGACCCAAAAGTGATTGACATTTCACATTGAGGTCAAAGTCAGCGTGTATGCAACATTTTAAGAATTTCCTCAAATCGTGCTGAAGATAACGAGACCTGTTCTACTTTAAAGAGTCCTCTCCAGCTGATGTTCAGGTGTATATCAGTATGTAGTATCTACTTTAAAGAGTCCTCTCCTGCTGATGCTCAGGTGTATATCAGTATGTAGTGTCTCTACTTTAAAGAGTCCTCTCCTGCTGATGTTCAGGGTGTATATCAGTATGTAGTGTCTCTACTTTTAAAGAGTCCTCTCCTGCTGATGTTCAGGTGTATATCAGTATGTAGTGTCTCTACTTTAAAGAGTCCTCTCCTGCTGATGTTAAGGTGTATATCAGTATGTAGTGTCTCTACTTTAAAGAATCCTCTCCTGCTGATGTTAAGGTGTATATCAGTATGTAGTGTCTCTACTTTAAAGAGTCCTCTCCTGTTGATGTTCAGGTGTATATCAGTATGTAGTATCTCTACTTTAAAGAGTCCTCTCCTGCTGATGTTCAGGTGTATATCAGTATGTAGTTGTCTCTACTTTAAAGAGTCCTCTCCTGCTGATGTTCAGGTTGTATATCAGTATGTAGTGTCTCTACTTTAAAGAGTCCTCTCCTGCTGATGTTCAGGTGTATATCAGTATGTAGTGGTCTCTACTTTAAAGAGTCCTCTCCTGCTGATGTTAAGGTGTATATCAGTATGTAGTGTCTCTACTTTAAAGACTCCTCCTCCTGCTGATGTTCAGGTGTATATCAGTATGTAGTGTCTCTACTTTAAAGAGTCCTCTCCTGCTGATGTTAAGGTGTATATCAGTATGTAGTGTCTCTACTTTAAAGAGTCCCTCTCCTGTTGATGTTCAGGTGTATATCAGTATGTAGTATCTCTACTTTAAAGAGTCCTCTCCTGCTGATGTTCAGGTGTATATCAGTATGTAGTGTCTCTACTTTAAGAGTCCTCTCCTGCTGATGTTCAGGTGTATATCAGTATGTAGTGTCTCTACTTTAAAGAGTCCTCTCCTGCTGATGTTCAGGTGTATATCAGTATGTAGTAGCTCTACTTTAAAGAGTCCTCTCCTGCTGATGCTCAGGTGTATATCCGTATGTAGTGTCTCTACTTTAAAGAGTCCTCTCCTGCTGATGTTCAGGTGTATAATCAGTATGTAGTGTCTCTACTTTAAAAGAGTCCTCTCCTGCTGATGTTCAGGTGTATATCAGTATGTAGTGTCTCTACTTTAAAGAGTCCTCTCCTGCTGATGTTCAGGTGTATATCAGTATGTAGTGTCTCTACTTTAAAGAGTCCTCTCCTGCTGATGTTCAGGTGTATAGTATGTAGTGTCTCTACTTTAAGAGTCTCTCCTGCTGATGTTAAGGTGTATATCAGTATGTAGTATCTCTACTTTAAAGAGTCCTCTCCTGCTGATGTTCAGGTGTATATCAGTATGTAGTATCTCTACTTTAAAGAGTCCTCTCCTGCTGATGCTCAGGTGTATATCAGTATGTAGTGTCTCTTCTTTAAAGAGTCCTCTCCTGCTGATGTTCAGGTGTATATCAGTATGTAGTGTCTCTACTTTAAAGAGTCCTCTCCTGCTGATGTTTCAGGTGTATATCAGTATGTAGTGTCTCTACTTTAAAGATGTCCTCTCTCCTGCTGATGTTCAGGTGTATATAGTATGTAGTGTCTCTACTTTAAAGAGTCCTCTCCTGCTGATGTTCAGGTGTGTATATCAGTATGTAGTGTCTCTACTTTAAAGAGTCCTCTCCTGCTGAATGTTCAGCGGTGTATATCAGTATGTAGTGTCTCTACTTTAAAGAGTCCTCTCTGCTGATGTTCAGGTGTGTATCAGTATGTAGTGTCTCTACTTTAAAGAGTCCTCTCCTGCTGATGTTCAGGTGTATATCAGTATGTAGTGTCTCTACTTTAAAGAGTCCTCTCCTGCTGCATGTTCAGGTGTATATCAGTATGTAGTGTCTCTACTTTAAAGAGTCCTCTCCTGCTGATGTTCAGGTGTATATCAGTATGTAGTGTCTCTACTTTAAAGAGTCCTCTCCTGCTGATGTTCAGGTGATGTTCAGGTGTATATCAGTATGTAGTACTCTACTTTAAAAGAGTCCTCTCCTGCTGATGTTCAGGTGTATATCAGTATGTATTGTCTCTACTTTAAAGAGTCCTCTCCTGCTGATGTTCAGGTGTATATCAGTATGTAGTGTCTCTACTTTAAAGAGTCCTCTCCTGCTGATGTTCAGGTGTATATCAGTATGTAGTGTCTCTACTTAAAGAGTCCTCTCCTGCTGATGTTCAGGTGTATATCAGTATGTAGTGTCTCTACTTAAAGAGTCCTCGTCCTGCTGATGTTCAGGTGTATATCAGTATGTAGTGGTCTCTACTTTAAAGAGTCCTCTCCTGCGTGTTCCGGTGTATTCAGTATGTAGTAGCTCTACTTTAAAAGAGTCCTCTCCTGCTGAGTGTTGCAGTGTGATAATCAGTAATTAGTGTCTCTACTTTAAAGAGTCCTCTCCTGCTGATGTTCAGGTGTATATCAGTTATGTAGTGTCCTCTACTTTAAAGAGTCCTCTTCCTGCTGACTGTTCAGGTGTATATCAGTATGTAGTGTCCTACTTTAAAGAGTCCTCTCCTGCTGATGTTCAGGTGTATAGCAGTATGTAGTGTACTCTACTTTAAAGAGTCCTCTCCTGCTGATGTTCAGGGTGTATATCAGTATGTAGTGTCTCTACTTTAAAGAGTCCTCTCCTGCCTGATGTTCAGGTGTATATCAGTTATGTAGTGTGCTCTACTTTAAAGAGTCCCTCTCCTGCTGATGTTCAGGTGTATATCAGTATGTAGTGTCTCTACTTTAAAGAGTCCTCTCCTGCTGATGTTCAGGTGTAATATCAGTATGTAGTGTCTCTACTTTAAAGAGTCCTCTCCTGCTGATGTTCAGGTGTATATCAGTATGTAGTGTCTCTACTTTAAAGAGTCCTCTCCTGCTGATGTTCAGGTGTATATCAGTATGTAGTGTCTCTACTTTAAAGAGTCCTCTCCTGCTGATGTTCAGGTGTATATCAGTATGTAGTGTCTCTACTTTAAAAGAGTCCTCCTCCTGCTGATGTTCAGGTGGTATATCAGTATGTAGTGTCTCTACTTTAAAGAGTCCTCTCCTGCCTGATGTTCAGGTGTATATCAGTATGTAGTGTCTCTACTTTAAAGAGTCCTCTCCTGCTGATGTTCAGGTGTATATCAGTATGTAGTGTCTCTACTTTAAAGAGTCCTCTCCTGCTGATGTTCAGGTGTATATCAGTATGTAGTGTCTCTACTTTAAAGAGTCCTCTCCTGCTGATGTTCAGGTGTATATCAGTATGTAGTGGTCTCTACTTTAAAGAGTCCTCTCCTGCTGATGTTCAGGTGTATATCAGTATGTAGTGTCCTCTACTTTAAAGAGTCCTCTCCTGCTGATGTTCAGGTGTATATCAGTATGTAGGTGTCTCTACTTTAAAGAGTCCTCTCCTGCTGATGTTCAGGTGTATATCAGTATGTAGTGTCTCTACTTTAAAGAGTCCTCTCCTGCTGATGTTCAGGTGTATATCAGTATGTAGTGTCTCTACTTTAAAGAGTCCTCTCCTGCTGATGTTCAGGTGTATATCAGTATGTAGTGTCTCTACTTTAAAGAGTCCTCTCCTGCTGATGTTCAGGTGTATATCAGTATGTAGTGTCTCTACTTTAAAGAGTCCTCTCCTGCTGATGTTCAGGTGATATATCAGTATGTAGTGTCTCTACTTTAAAGAGTCCTCTCCTGCTGATGTTCAGGTGTATATCAGTATGTAGTGTCTCTACTTTAAAGAGTCATCTCCTGCTGATGTTCAGGTGTATATCAGTA